AACAGAGCGTCATAGTACTCTTTCTCCTCAGATGTGGTCTATAAAAAAAGATTGGTTTGCACTCACCCAGATTTATTAAAAAAATCGGTCTGATTTGTTTTCCAAGAATTTGTCTTCCACGCCTTATCTGCTGTGATCAAGAGCCATTATTGCTCTTAAATGTGACCGAAGACTATTTTTTGGGTGTACATATAGGGCTATATCAACTCGATACAAGATTTGTTTCACTCCAAAATCACTTAGCTTTTCCCTCAAAAGTCACATGAATGTGCCCCTAAGTAAACTGATTTGTGGAATACAAAATTATTGTTTGATTAAGTTATAAGAATATAAATGGGAGCTTCGCTTTTAGCTGTGGCTAAATCTATATATTACTTTTCAGGGGCTGCATCTCGAATGGTAAGCCTGAGTAATTATTGTATTGATGTTTGTTTTTTTAACTCTAATTTAATGAAGCCGAGCGTAATTTTTTATGTGGCTATTTAGTTTATGCACGTTTGTAACGATCCGAGTATCAGGTTTGATATAAGCTTAAAGAAATTTAAAAAGCCCTTCGACATTTTCTAACTGCAAATAGACAGAAAAGGTTCCAAAGAATATCTAGTTATGATTCTGGCTGTAAAAGAAAGCCTTGAGCGATTTTTTTGCCTCGAGTTTATCTTTGAAAAAGCAAACACCGAGAAGCCAGCTTAAAACAAAAAATTAAGCTTTTTCAAGCTAATGAAAGCTTGAAGACCCAGGGTTTTTGCAGACACTTTAACACTTGTCCTCGTTAATGAAAATTGTTGTCTCTGTATATGTTTCACCGAATTATATTTCTTTTATTGATTGTTAGTAGTCTCTCATGTAATTTTAATCGCTGTGCCGTTTGTTTTCAGTCGTTCAGTGAACGTCGCTTCCAGGAGTACTCAAAATACCGTGCGTATCAAACGCTTTTGAAGATTACACATCGATAAAACCATTAAATAAAAAATATTATTATTATATTGGAGCGTAACTCTATTAATGTTCATTCAAACACTTGACCACAACTCGCACTGCAAAAGTGAGAACCGGCTGGGCGTATAGGTGATTTTGGAAATGTTTTTAATGGTTTAGCTAAAGGACCACGCGTGCTTCGATCGTCCTGATTATTGAATGAGTGCAATTTGTATTGCAAAATTGTGAAATACTGCTTTCTGTCCACGGTCTGTATGATCAAAACAGTGCCTCATAGTACTGTTTCACCTCAGGTGTGATACTATAAATGGTATAAAAGGTTGGCTTACACAAACCCAGATTTGCTGGCAAGTTTTTGTAAAGTAAACTTGTCGAACGCAAAAAATCGGCCTGATTTTTTTTCAGGCCTAATTAATCTACGGTGATCAAGATCCATGCATATTATGGCTCTTAAATGTGATCGAAGATGATTGCCAGTTTTTGGGTGTATATATGAGGCTATTAACGTGATGTAAGATTTGGTTCACTTTTGGGCTTTTGCAAATTATTTTTCTCTAAAACTACTTGGCCTTTCCCTCAAAAGTCACATGAATGTGCTATTAAGCTGTTTGAACTGTGGAATACAAGTTTATTGTTTGATTTAAATTGTATAAATTTATTAATGGGAGCCTCGCTTTTAGCCCTTGCTAAATCTATATATTACCATCGTTGAGGAGGAAGTATTATAGTATTATTACTTTATACATATCAATAACGGGATCTGACCGCGGTTATAAGACGGAGTATTAAACGTATAGCAGTATTTCAACGTAGGTGTTGTGGAAGCAGCAAAGACTCAAGAGAACAGACCCGTCGAGAAGTCAGGAAGCATGAACTCAACAGAAAAGCTGCTCCAGTCTGATAAATCCAGAAGCAGGTCTGGAAAAATTGGAGCAACAGTTTCTCTCAGTTTGGTCTTTGTTGTTTCGCTGGTTGGAAATTATTAAAAACTGCATCATTGGATAAAGCAATTCTAGAGCTTTGATTGGCTTAGCCATCATGGTATATGAGCAATATGGTAACTGTACGCGTCTGCTTAAAATTAAAAACAAGCTGAAAATCTGTCTTTTACAAATAATAAAGTAGGCAAGAATTCTCGATATTTTGTGGGCGTTTTTAATAAAACAATTATCTCACTCGCACTGGTTGGACATAAGATGATTATGATTATGGCCAACTCGGCTCTACGCGCCTCGTTGGCTAACTACTATCTCATATCCAACGCACACTCATGGAATAATTGTTAATTATAACAAAACAAAAGTTAAGCGCGCGCTCTGATTGGTCAGTTAGCCATCTACCATTTGCCCGTGGGTGCACGCCAAAAAACTGAGCTAGCGCGGTAAAGTTGAGGCAAATTCAGCTAATCTCCTCTCCTGTCAGTAAAATGAAGCGATAAAAAGTGGAAGTTAAAGAAAATACTCATTTGTCGTTTTGAAGAAAAAACGTCAAAAGATCAAGCGACAAATTTGTCCTGGATGAATTTATCACTGTTTTCTTCGCGGCTAGGATCGGGCAGAAGAAAAACCAAATGAGCGAAGATTTAAGGCATATATTGTGTGCTTTTATAGGATGGGAAATCTGTTTTATGATGGAAATTTATCAATTAGCATCGTGTTATTGGCGTTTTAGTCGAACTGATGTTAACTTCAAGTAGCTCAGATTCGAGACAGCTTTGTTGTGTTCTTATCGCATCGATTAAAAATTTTAGTTGAGTTACGGACACACTACGCTAGAACTGTAAAGCGAATTTCATTTGAGTACAGGAACATTTGGGTTTCAAATAAATTTTTCAAAAAATGACTTCTCTGTTGATTATTTTGTTTATGTTCATTCATAAGTTACAGTACACCAAAGAACGGTCGTAAAACAACAGCATCTAAGTTGCTCACGCATCGCTTCAGCGCCGGCCGTGTCGGCGAATTTTTTCAATTTTGACTTTTAGCTCGACTTCCCCGGACAAATTTCGATACGAAGATAGTTAATTTCGTTTTAAAGTTAGTGCTCCCCTGTGATACCTTAAGGAAATATAGTCAATTTTTCTTATTTCTACTTTACGTTTATTGCAAAAATTGTTTTTTAGTCTTTTTTAGTCTTTTTTAGTTAGCGTTTATAGTTGCAGCTCTAGTTTTCCCTCAAACAATTTACTTAATAATCTAAGAGCAACTACACAGACGCCATGCATTCAGAATAACAACAAAAAAAACGTTTTGCAATTTACCCTAAGACAGCCTGATGAACAGCAAAAGGTGTAAAAGCCATTGCAGAACAGAATCGAAAGAAATCTCTTCTCGCGGGGTATTCTAAATTCAATATTTCCCACCAAAATTAAGGGATACAATGCGCTTATTTCAGTAAGGTCGAATATAACGACGGTTAATGAAAATATAACCTAATCCTTTTGATTCTTTCAAGTCCCAGTAGTTTTCATTATGACCCATCTGGAACTCAGAATTCATTTCTTAAAATTGCTTAATATTTGCATTTATATTGGTTCCACCAAAAGTAGACTTCACAATATTAAACTCAGCGATGGTTGAGTGCTATCGTTTTCAGTAACTTTTTAAACGAACACGAACACACAAAAACAAAATTGCCGCCGATAACGAGGTCCTCTTTAGAAGCAGAAGATGACTTGTCTAGGTGCCCCAGGGTGCCTCATTCAAACTAACTAAACATGTTTAATTAAACCATGTTTTAAAAAATGAAAACGGACACGAAAAACAGGAACACAGGTTTTTACACAGGATGCGGTAATCAAATTCAACGCGTTTTGTAATTTGCAATAAAGTTGCCACCAACCTAAGGTGTTTTTATGAAAGAAAAAATATATATATACCCTGTTTGACTAAACAGCTATTAAACATAGACCGATCAATATGAAGAAATTCGAAAATAAAAGCGATAAAATAAAGCATTTGATGGTCTATAAAGCTTAGCTTTATCTGATAAGATGCGGTTTTTCCTTTAACTTTCTTTTTATGTAAAAACAAAGGTTGGTTTTCAGTTGGGGTCTTAGAAAAAACGATATAATTTATTTTTGATTTGGTGGACCTTACTTTGAACAAGCGTCTTTTACAAATGCATAGGAGAGGAGGTAATTAAGGCGTTTTCACACGGGAAGACGAAGTTGCATCGTTATAGAAAAATGTCAGTTAATACAAATATGTCTTTATACCGTTTGCGTCGTTAACAAATAGAGGCCAAAGTTAAATGTTTATTTAACAATTAGTTCATGCGTCAGCGTGCGTATGTCAAGATACAGGCAAACGGGAGAGTTGCTCTAGTCGCAGACGGAATAGCAAAGTTCAAGTTAAGCAGTAGTTAATGCAGAATTGACTTTACACCGTCTGCGCCAATAATAGAGGCAAAAGTCATTGAAAGATAGCTTAGAGAGAAAGTGAAAATTAGCTCAGGGAAAATAAATTTCTCAGTTGTTTTTAGTAAATCAACTACGAACAGGTGTGCCAACATAAATGTTAATGATCACGCAGATCATAACTATTGGGGGCCTTTTCTTGAAATGAGTATTCATCAACAGGTCCGTTAATTTAGTGTTGGTGCAAATGTAAAAGTTTTGATATTGACATGTGGCACTAATGTGGAAGTTTCTAACGTCTCATTCGGTTTATTCATATTTATTCATATTTAATTCGGAAAGAATCGATCATTGATATTTTATGGGTGTTTTTGATAAAACAATCATTCCACTCCCGCTTCCTGGATATGGGATAACGAGACACGTATAGGCAAGTATCCAACGCGCGCTCTCGTGGAATAATTGCTGATTATTGTGTATTCAATTCAATGCACTATCATAAAATTGGTCTATAATGATAGCATGATTATTGCCACTTCCTTCTGGTCAGAAATAATATTTGCATTGTCTTTATTTTAGGTTCCATCTGAGAGAGCTTGAAGGGGCTACGTCTTTACTTACATAATAATTGGTACAATATAAAGGATAAAGAACCGCCAGAAGGTGTTGTCAAGCGAAAAGACCTGCCGAAGAACCAGTAAGCATGAACACAACAGCAAATGGATCAAGTTCCTCGAGCTGCTCCAGTCTGATAAATCCAGAAGCAGTAAAAGTTGGAAAAACAGTTGCTTATAGTTTAATCCTTGTAGTCTCGCTGGTTGGAAATTCTCTCATCGTATTAATAGTTTACAATACACCAACTTTAAGAAAACCGATAAATGTGTTGATCGCAAATATGGCCATGTCTGACCTGCTCTATCCAATATTCTTGTTCCCCGTTCGACTGGCAGAGTTGAACGTTGGCCTGTGGCTTATTGGTGGTTCCCTTGGTCAGGCCTTGTGCAAGATACTCCCTTTTCTTACTGAAATTTCCATGGTAGTGTCGATTCAGAGCCTGGTTCTGATAACAGTGGATCGATATGCAGCTGTTGTAGTTCCACTCCGTTCACCCCTCATCAGTCGCAAGGTGTGTCGCTGTTTGATTGTTGCTACATGGATACTCGCAGTGCCCTTTTGTTGGCCATATTTGTTTAACTTCAATCTTGTTGAATGCCAAGAAGGAAAGAGATGCATGAATCAGTGGGAGGCGATCTTCGGAGAGAAAAGCTCATTTGGTATTTACCTCCTATCAGCTTCTATCTTGTTCTTTTACATCCCCTTTGTCGTCTTGGTGATACTTTACTCCATCATCCTGATCAAGCTTAAAAAGCAAGCCCATCCAGGTGAACAGTCAGCCCGGGCAGAGGAACAGAGGACAAGAAGAAACAGAAATGTGCTTAAGATGACCGTTGCTATCGTTGTAGTGTTTTTCATTTGCTGGATACCCTTTTCCATTAAGTTAGTAACATCTTATTTTGTTCCCAAAACCACTTTGGATTGTAAGTTTCTGGTATCTCTTGATGTTGCCTTGTTTATGGCTTACACAAACTGTGCTATCAACCCGATTATCTGCCTTACCTTTACCAGTAACTATCGCCAAGCTCTTAGGAGACTTGTGAATTGCTGTGGTGCAGTGCAAGGTTAAAGGCGCTATGTCAGCTGGAGAGCATGCGCTCTGAGGTTATGCAAATTACTTTCAACTGTCAAAATTCTATTGTTTTTAACGCGTGACTTTCTCCATGTGCGCTGTGAGGTTGTGCAAATTACTTTCAACTGTTAAAATTCTATTGTTTTTAACGCGTGACTTTCTTCATGTTCTCTGTCACGTCCAAGGTTCCGAATTTAGAGAGGTTTAGCGAAATGGGTTTAGATAAGGGATATTTCGATAGAATTTATGGAACGTTTCTTCTCTGGTTATGCTAGATCAAGAATAAAATTGCGACGACAATTTTACTTGTAGTTTTGAAGTAAAAACGCATGCCATTCATAAAATAGAGCGCAAACAAAAATTCAACAACAACATATTGTCTTATTCAACAAAATAAATGGAAGTTGTATTTTACAAACGAGCTACAAAAGACGCTAGACCGAAGATAAAGACCAAGACTGTTTCAAATCATTAACAATTAGACTTGTCTGTCGCTATTGATTTTATAATTTAGATGCTGATAGAACAAGAGACCAAGTCTTTGTTTTGATCTTAGGGAAACATACATTATCACGCAAAATTGTTCGATCGTGCCGAATCACTGCGACGTCGAGAAAAACAGAACCCAGCATCACTGGTATACTACTCCACTATAAGCAGTCCGTTGATAAAAAGGGAAAGCAAACTCTGCTATTTTCCAAAATTATGCTCCAACACAAACAGTTCAAAAACATGGCATTTACAGGATCTAACTCGTACTAAGGTGCCTCTCTAAGTCCGTTGAGAACAATCTGGACGAGCAAACGGTCGTGTTTATCTTTGCCGTGAATCGAGATAAATACAAGAAGGAATCTAGCCGAATTTTATAATGTTTCCTTCGCCAGGAGTTTAGTTTCGTCACGAAACTCATGGCCTGATGCTCTTGTAATCGTTTACAAAAAACGGCCGCCGCCATCTCGATAGCCGCTTCATTATATGTCCACATACTTTGAGCACAAGAAAAATCCAAGAGCCAGCAGCCTCTAAAATAACTCAATAGAAAGGTCCTGTGAACTATAGGGAAGATTCCATCAAAGATTCCATCACTCATTGTGGAGTAGCCGTCATTAACTCTGCCATTACAACGGCCGCTGATAAGAGGACACAGTAAATCCACGTAAAAACATTCCACAGGCAAACAATTTTAAAATAACGTCAAAAAATTGTTCTGTAATCACCATAGAATGATTCTTAATACAAAACTTTGCTAACTATCGAACGATGGCTGAGATTTAGACAGATAAAAACAGCCTTCCAAAATCTCCGACACAACTTGAAAAAGTTGGGCCGTCTTTTTCAAGTTTGTTTTCATTGGCTCGCGCATGCGTGTGTGACATAGCCCCTTTAAGTGAAATCTAGGCCTGATCGAAGTGATTCTTGAAAAAAAGCGACCAATATTAATAACTTTACCTTAAAAGTTAATAATACCGAAAATTAAACCGGTAAACTGTTAAAATGCGGGTTACCCTGAACTGGAAGCCGAGTATGAAATTCGGTAGCAAGCTTTCTCGCTTCTCTTTTTGAGGAAAAATGTAAAGAGTGTTTTTTCTCTGTTTTTAGCAGTTGCTTTTTCAGTGGAATGCCGTATTATCCTATATCGTTTATATGCTGAGTCTATTTTAACTGCATGGCGAAGTGATCTTCCCTTTGTTTTTTTTTTTTTTTTTTTGGGGGGGGGGTTATTGTGAAAACGTGCCGGCGTAAGGAAGTGGCAGCAATATTTTATTTTACTTGCAAACATTCTGCTCCCTAGAGTAGTATTTGGAATATATTTTTAATTACTTATTTCAGAACTGGAATAGCAGGTCAGTAGAACGGCGGATTCTCGGGATTATTCTGTATGTATTCCTGTTGCGATCGAGCCAAGTTAGAGTTAGTGTTGGTTCTGCTGTTTTTAAAAGTGAGAATTAGAAACGTGTAAAAAAGAGTAGTAAAAAGAGAAGTGCCATCGTAAATGTTAATAGTTGGATCATAATTATCTGCTTTTGTACAAATGGTTATTGTATGTTGTACATACAACCTTAACAGGCTTAGATGTATATATATATAGCTATTCCGCCGCGAAATTACTTCAGCTTTCTTAGACTGCCTTAATCACTTTGATTGCTATGATGACTTTCTGATTGCATTTTGTTTCTGAGCTCAACGACTTAGTGAATAAAATTTCATTAATTTTGTAGCTGACATTGTTTTGCTCTACTAAGTATCTCCTCTCTTACATTTGTTATTTTCCATTCTAGGACGCCATTTTACTTATCAGAATGTATTCAATTGATTGCATAAATGTACGCTCAATAAAGATGAAACCGAATTTCTTTGTCAATATGGTCTATCAAATGTGTTATTTTAACTCTTTTACAGTATCTAAATCTACTGACTATTTAAGGTTAAATTAACATTTTCTTGTAACCTAGCTATTCTATTTAGTTATATTAATGAGAAGTATCTACAAAAATGGGTTCTCGGAGATGCATCCCGGGTAGTTTTTTTTAATTAGGTACTTTGAAATGGTCTCTAACTAAATGAAGTGCGTTATTTTAACCAAAAATGTTGGTCATTAAATTTTAGGGAATCACTGAGCTAAGTTTGGTGGTCCTTGCTTGAACAGTTTTGAAGTACTTTAACTTTTTAGCGATCAGATTTCTTCTTTTTGTAAATCAAAAAAAGAATAACTACGCCAAAATTAAGGGAGAAACATTGTCGTATAGACCTTTCCCGCATTCCGCTCCAGTGAGCAAACATAAAGAAATGAGGACGAGGCTTGGGTGGACAATTTCATACAGATCACTGTAATTTGTCCACCCGAGCCTCGAGTTGGTGCATTTGTTTACTGGAATGTGGGAAAGGTCTTTTTACTACCATGCATTGTGTTTTTGTAAGAGATTTAATGAGCGCGGTTAAACTGTTTGGATTACGAGTTACCCTGACGCCGAGAGAAAAATTCAGTATATTTTTCGCATTTTTTTTGTGAGGAAAAATATTAAGCTTAAGAGTTTTTTTCTCTCTTCCAGAGAACTAGCCGTTTCTGCGGAATGCGTTTCCTAGCTTGTTTATATGTTGATGATTTTCACCGACGACTTGGTGAAAACTTGCCGCCGCACGGAAATGAAGTAACTATTCCGTTTTCTTCCAAACATTCTGCTCCCCTGGGCGATATTTGGAATAACTATTCCACTTATTTCAGAGCTGCAATAGCAGGTCAATCGAACGGATTTTCCGGATTATTTTATCTTTTTCTTTTGTGGTCAAGCCAAGTTTTAAAAGTCTTTTTTCGGAGTAACAAAAAATTTCTCAAAAAAGCTTTTTTGAAAACGAGAGTAGCCGTCCAAAACTCTCAGAGATCTTGGTATAGAGTACCAATCCTTAATAGAACGAACTGAAAAAGAACGACCACCCTCCGCGCTAATTATATCTAGGACAAAGCAAATTTAAATTACAATTTCTTGTATTCCTTATACGCATACTATGCTTGAATTTGTAACCAGAAGTTTGTTCATTTATAATTAGGAGTGTTTCCTTTAAGTCTCTTGTGAATGAGTGCGTATCGATTTATGTGCGACTCCCTATAAAAAGGAATCCAATTACAGCCGTTACCATTAACACGCGCCCTCAAAGGTTTTTTTTCTTCGGGTTCAAACCTGCGTTTTGGTGGACGTCAATCAACCGTTACCATGGTTTTTCACGCGTTGGCCCAGAGCCGACTCTTTCCCCGTTTCTCGAGCGCTCGGAAGAACAAGTCGTTTTTGCAATACTTTGCTACAGGATCTGGCACCGCTTCATGTCAAGACTACGAGGAGTACGAATTTGTTGAGTGTTTGTCGGAGGAAACTCAAATTATCGACTTATTTACAAACTGTAAGTTACAACCACATAAGCTTTCTTAATGCACGCTCGCAACTCGTCTGAATTCTTGCTAGCTCTGGATTCTATTCAGGCCCGTAGCCAGGTTTTTTTTTATGGGGAGGTACGATCCAAAAAGGAGACGCACCAAATAAGGCCGGACTGGTTAGTCCCTAGGCGGGGGAAGCTTTGGTTGTATGAGACTGAATTGCGCGGCAAGTTTACAATTGGGGGACGGGGCGCTTGAATTCGAACGCGTTAACGTGTGCCACTTAGGGCTATCCGGGGGTATGCTCCACAGGAAAATTTTAAATTTTAGGCCCTCTGAAATGGCTGGAAATGCATTTAAAACTAACATGGTGTGGTGAAACTTATATACTTTCAACAACAACAAAAAAAAGTCGCAATAGTCTAAAAAGTGATATTTTGGGGGGTCGAAATGGCTTCTGCGTACCACTGACGTAATGAGAAAAGCTCAAAATGGATCATCTGGACCTCTACTGGCGCTACATCGCGTTTCCCACAACATGCCGCAACGTCTTAACGAAATGTGATAAAAAAGAAATAAAGAAGGCACGCTGGTTACTGAACTTCTGATTACAAGTAATCGAGAGAGCAATTAAAGCATCTTTTAAAAATTTCATGCAAAAAAGTTTTGATCAAAAGTTACAGCTCAACAAATTAGAGGAACGAACTTTTGGGATACCCTGTACTCCTGATTAATGGCTTTTATTAATTGTAAAGACTAATCTTCCCGAATTTAAAGATATATGGAAAGTTAATGAAGATTCGATAATTATCCGATCAATAGACTTTTAAGCTTCTAGAACAATCTTAAGGAAGAAAGAGTTGGCTAGTAAGAGAGAAGACAAACGGAGTTAGCAAGAGGGAGTTAGCAAATGGACAGCAAGATTTAGAGATTGTTGAAGGAAAAGTTAGTCAGAGATAGAGAGAGGGAGTGAACTAAAGCAGCAGCGAAGGCTTAAACTTAAAGATAAGTGAAATGGAAGAGAAGTAAGAATGGACAACCGCCCTGCGAGTAACTAAAATAAACCCTGAAAATGTAACTGGTTGATTGTGGAGTTCCTCTCGTCTCGCCGTCCCCATGAAATATACGACACACAAAGATCGTGTATCACGACTAACGAAAACGCGAAAGACTTTGTGAATGCTAAAAGCCCTGCCAGACCAGTAAGAATCTCTACTCGCAGGATATTTTAAACACAAAATTTCCCACACAATAAAAAAAAAATAAATAAATAAATAAATAAATAAGCGCCTCGTAGCCCTTATTTTATAGTGTTAAAAATTTTCAATAATTTCGTATATAAACGACGATTAACGAGAATATAATTTTTTAAAAAATCTATTGACCGGTTTCAAAATTATTTTGTTGATGTATAGGCCAAAATATATACTTAAATGCCAAAAAGAGCATCTCATGAATGCTAATCAAATTCCTCTTTTTGCAATCGGCTAAAACTATCCCTTTGATTCTTTCAGGTCCAAGTAGTTTTCATTGTAACCCATCTAGAACTCAATTCATTTTTTAAATTGCTATTTGCATTTACATTGAGAATATTTCTCAAACGTTTCATCAAAAGTAGGCGTCACTGGAGACTAAAGTAACGTTTTTGTCACAATATTAAACACAGCGACGGTTAAGTGGTATCATTTTCAGTAACTTTTAAAACTAACAAGCACACACAAAAACAAAATTGCCGCCGATAACGAAGACCTCTGCAGGAGGAGTAGATAACTTGTCTACGTGCCCCAGGGTGCTCCCATTCAAGCTAACTAAACATGTTCAATTAAACCATTATTTTAAAAAATGAAAACGGACACGAAAAACAGGAAGACAGGTTTTTACACAGGATGGGGTAATAAAATTCAACGCGTTTTGTAATTTGCAATAACGTTGCCATCTACTTAAGGTGTATTATAAAGGAAAAAAAAAATTACCTTGTTTGACTAAACAGCTTTTAAACATAGACCGATCAATATGAAGAACTTCGAAAATAAAATCGATAAAACAAAGCAATTGACTTTACACCGTCTGCGCCAATATCAAATAGAGGCTAAAAGTCAGTGAAAGTTAGCTTGGGGAGAAAGTGAATGTTAGCTCGGGGAAAAATAATTTTTGGATATTTACGAACAGGTGTATGTGCCACTAATAATGTCAATGGTCATGTTGGTCAGAACTATTCGTGGCGTTTTTAATTTCTAGAAATGAGTATTCGTCAATTGGTTCGTCGGCGTTGACGCAAATGCAAAAGTTTAATTGATATAGATATGTGGCGCTAGTGCGAAAGTCTCTAGTAAACTCTCTTTCCGATCGTTTTATTTATATTTATTATTCTTATTTTATTCGGAAAGAATCAATCATCTATATTGTATGGCATTGTTTTTTTTTTTTTAATTAAACAATCATTCCACCCCCGATTACTGGAGCACCGCTACCAATAACATCAGTAAACAAGACTTAGAAGTAGCTTCAATGCTTGGATTAATGTGAGGGATTGAACCATTTTGAGATGCAGTGCAGTAAATATTAACAGGCCACCAGGTGAGTGTCAGATAATTTTTTATAATTTTCTGGGACCAGTAAACTCTTCTGTTATCTACTCACTGTCTACTGGCATAAGTGTTCGTGAATCGACTTTCGATTTTTAATTTTCACTTTTCACTTTGAAGATCGAATTTAAATATCGACTTTTGATTTTGCGTTTTGACGTGGTGAGAGAAGCGAAAAATGCCGTGAGCGTTATTTGCCGTTAAAAAATTGAAATTGCTGTGAGTAAATTGAAATTGCCGAGAGCAAATTGAAATTGCGTGAGCAAATTGAAATTGCCATGAACAAATTGAAATTGCCGTGAGTGATATTGAAATTGCCGTGAGTAAATTGAAATTGCCCGGCAACAAATTGAAATTGCCCTGAGTAAAATTGAAATTGCCGTGACACTTTTGGGTCACCGTAATTATGATTATCATTAAATGTCGCTAGTGCGGATATCTGAAATATGTGTCTATATGCTTTTATATGTAGGGCTTTTTATGGACACTGGTTTAGCCGTCATTAGTATAATTCGATTGTATGATCTTGATATCTCTGCATAATGGAATTCTTAATTTTATAGAATTTTGAACTTTTATTATTGATCATATCTATTTCCTCCTCTTTTATGTAAGGTTAAGTTACTTCTGTTTTTTAGAATTTGTAAATGAATAATTTTCTCTTTCTTCACTTATTATATATAGGATTGTTTTTGTTCTCTAATGAAGGAATTGTAGATAGTGTTTTGATGAATTGATTAGATTTTTTGTAACAGCAGGTTGATTGTAAATAGGATTTTAATTGAGGTTTTGTAATAAAGATTTTACCATTTATCATATTATTATTATTATTATTATTATTATCATCATACACACCCCTTTTAACAGTACGGTTACCATTTATAATACTTCAAACGGAAAAAAATATGCAATGGCAACTTAAAGCCAAACTGAAACCATCGTCCGTAAACTTTGTCTTTTTTCAAGTGACATTGCCTCAGCTCTAAAAAATTAACAGGTGGAAGAGCTAACAAAACCTGAGAAGAGGATACAACCTGCAATAATGAATTTATTCAAATTGTTTAGTTTAAGTGTCGTAGACAAAGGGTAACTAATAGACCAGCAGATAGACAATTTAACCGCTCGTGATCTTAAAGCCACAACCGACTCTGTGTTGCTTCCTACGGTTTTCTTGTTTTCTTAGAAATTCTCTGTGAGAACAGCCAAAATGGCGGATGCTCTAGGCAATCGCAGTTTCTTTTTAACAAGCGTGGAAGTCTTCTATTTGAACTGTGGAATACAAGTTTATTGTTTGATTTAAATTGTATAAATTTGTTAATGGGAGACTCGCTTTTAGCCCTGTCTAAATCTATATATTACTATCGTTAAGGAGGAAGTATAAGTATTATAGTATTAGCTAGTATTATTAGTTTACAGATCAATAACGAGATCTGACCGCGATTATAAGACGGAAGTATTAATCATATAGCATTATTTGAACGTAGGTGTTGTGGAAGCAGCAAAGACTCAAGAGAACAGACCCGTCGAGAAGTCAGCAAGCATGAACTCAACAGCAAAGCTGCTCCAGTCTGATAAATCCAGAAGCAGGTCTGGAAGAATTGGAGCAACAGTTTCTCTCAGTTTGATCCTTGTTGTTTCGCTGGTTGGAAATTATTAAAAACTGAATCATTGGATAAAGCAATTCTAGAGCTCTGATTGGCTTAGCCATCATGGTATATGAGCCATTATACCGTGCTCTCCAAATATGGTAACTGTACGCGTCTGCATAAAAAAAAAATCAGTCTTTTACAAATAATAAAGTAGGGAAGAATTCTCGATATTTTGTGGGCGTTTTTAATAAAACAAGTATCCCACTCGCGCTGGTTGGACATAAGATAATTATGATTATGGCCAACTTGGCTCTACGCGCCTCGTTGGCTAACTACCATCTCATATCCAACGCGCACTCATGGAATAATTAGCAATTAATGAATGAGGCTGAGTAGGATATGAAGAATTAAGCGGATCGAGGAAGGTGTTATCCACCGAGGCCGTAGGCCGAGGTGGATAACACCCTTCCGAGATCCGCTTAATTCTTCATATCCTACGAAAGCCGAATTCATTAATTGCTTTATTATTTATTAAAATATTTTCAAACACTTAAAGGATTATGATGATTATTTTTTTTTTCGTTTCTGTGTCCGCTTACCGACATGATGTGTCGCGCTTCAAATCCACTTCTGTCGAGTATAGTTATGGTCGTTATGGTGTTTTTATGAAGGAAAAAAAAAATTATACCATGTTTAACTAAACAGCTATTAAATATAGACCGATCAATATGAAGAAATTCGAAAATAAAAGCGATAAGATAAAGCAATTGATGGTCTATAAAGCTTAGCTTTATCTGATAAGATGCGGTTTTTCCTTTAACTTTCTTTTTATGAAAAAACAAAGGTTGGTTTTCAGTTGGGGTCTTAGAAAAAAAGATATAATTTATTTTTAATTTGGTGGACCTTACTTAATTAAACAACCGTCTTTTACAAATGCATAGGATAGGAGGTAATTAGGGCGTTTTCACACGGAAAAACGAAGTTGCATCGTTAAAGAAAAATGTCAGTTAATACAAATATGACTTTATATCGTTTGCGTCGTTAACAAATAGAGGCCAAAGTTAAATGTTTATTTAACAATTAGTTCATGCGTCAGCGTGCGTATATCAAGATATAAGGCAAACGGGAAGTTTGGGAAGTGAGAATTGCTCTAGCCGCAGACGGAATGGCAAAGTTCAAGTTAAGCACTAGTTAATACAGAATTGACTTTAAACCGTCTGCGCCAATAATAGAGGCAAAAGTCATTGAAAGATAGCTTAGGGGGAAAGTGGAAATTAGCTCAAAGATGAATAATTTCTCAGTTGTTTTTAGTAAATCAACCACGAACAGATGTGCTACCATAAATGTTAATGGTCACGCAGATCATAACTATTGGGGGCCTTTTCTTGAAATGAGTATTCATCAATATAGGTCCGTTAATTTGGCGTTGACGCAAATGCAAATGTTTTGATATTGACATGTGGTACTATTGTGGAAGTCTCTAATGTCTCATTCGGTTTATTCATATTTATTCATATTTTATTGGGAAAGAATCGAACATTGATATTTTATGTTTTTTTTTTTAATAAAACAATCATTCCACTCTCGCTTCCTGGATATGGGATAACTTTATGGCCAGCAAGACACGTACAGGCAAGTATCCAACGCGCGCTCGCGTGGAATAATTGTTAATTATTGCGTATTCAATTCAATGCGGCATAAAATGGATCTATAATGATAGCATGATTATTGCCACTTCCTTCTGGTCAGGAATAATGTTTGCGTTTTCTTTATTTTAGGTACCATCTGAGAGAGCTTGAGGGGGCTACGTCTTTACTTACATAATAATTGGTAGAATGTAAAGGACAAAGTGAGAACCGCCAGGAGGTATTTTCAAGCGAAAAGACCTGCCGAAGAACCTACAGTAAACATGAACACAACAGCAAATGGATCAAGTTCCTCGAGCTGCTCCAGTCTGATAAATCCAGAAGCACTAAAAGTTGGAGCAACAGTTGCTTATAGTTTAATCCTTGTAGTGTCGCTGGTTGGAAATCTTCTCATCGTATTAATTGTTTACAAAACACCAACTTTGAGAAAACCGATAAACATGTTGATCGCAAACATGGCCATGTCCGACCTGCTCTATCCAATATTCTTGTTCCCCGTTCGCCTGGCAGATTTGCACGTTGGCTCGTGGCTTATTGGTGGTACCCTTGGTCAGGCCTTGTGCAAGATACACGCTTTTCTTGCTGATATTTCCTCGTTAGTGTCGATTCAGAGCCTGGTTCTGATAACCGTGGATCGATATGCAGCTGTTGTAGTTCCACTCCGTTCACCCCTCATCAGTCGCAAGGTGTGTCGCTGTTTGATTGTTGGTACATGGATACTTGCAGCGGCCTTTCTTTGGCCATATTTGTTTACCTTCAATCTTGTTGAATACCAAGAAGGAAAGCGGTGCATGAATCAGTGGGAGGTGCTCTTCGGAGAGGGAAGCTCAGTTGGTATTTACCTCCTATCAGCTTATATCTTTTTCTATTACAGCCCTTTTGTCGTCTTTGTGATACTTTACTCCATCATCCTGATCAAGCTTAAAAAGCAAGCCCATCCAGGTGAACAGTCAGCCAGCGCTGAGCAACAGAGGACAAGAACAAACAGAAATGTGCTTAAGATGACCGTTGCTATCGTTGTAGCGTTTTTCATTTGCTGGATTCCCTTTTCCATTCAGGTAGTAACATTTTATTTTGTACCAAAGAACACTTTGGATTGTAAGTTTTGGGTATCTTCTACTGTCGCCTTGTTTATGGCTTACACAAACTGTGCTATCAACCCGATTATCTGCCTTACCTTTACCAGTAACTATCGCCAAGCTTTTAGGAAACTTGTGAATTGGTGTGGTGCAGTGCAAGGTTAAGTGAAATCTAGGGTTGATCGAAGTGATTCTTGAAAAAAAGCGACCAATATTAAGAAGTGATCCTGATAAGAAGGGAAGCAATTTCTTTTGTTGTGGCGCAATACGCTTTCCTCACATAGAAATGTTTTCATTTTTACGCAGGGAATGCGTAAATCTACAAAAAGGCTGGTTACGAAAGAAAATGTATTTAAACTCCGTTTTAAAAGGGTGTATTTTTGTGTTAAAACATTTCGACCAATCACAAGAGTTGCAAACAATGGCCAAGAAATGTTCACAATTTTACATGATCCGCACGTACGATTTCTGTGTTACTTAGACTCAGACGAAATTTTGTTATAAGGAAGTTGGATAGAAAAAAAGGGATTAATATACATGCTGCTTTGCGAAGATTTCGTAAAATTTGATGTTTAAACCAATCAGAACCTTAGTAGAGACAATAGTAAAGTTAGCACCTTTTTGCATTCCGACGTGTTCACTGCGTTTTGGTCCTTTCCTTCTTATCTGGACCATTACTTAATAACTTTACTGTAAAAGTTAATAATACCGAAAATTAATGCAGCATGAAATCTCTCTTGGGACGGCTGTAAGACCCAGGAGAAATGGGGTGGGGGGAGGGGGAGGGAAATAAGGTGCATTATGGGAGATGTGCAAGTGGCGAATAAGAGATTTACCGAGCACCGGTAAACTGTTTAAAATGCGGGTTACCCTGAACTCGAAGCCGAGTATGAAATTCAGTTGCTACGTTTCTCGCTTCTCTTTTTGAGGAAAAAATGTTAAAAGTGTTTTTTTCTTTGTTTCAGCGGTAGCTTTTTCTGTGGAATGCCTTATTTTCCAATATCGTTTATATGCTGAGTCTATTGTCACTGTATGGCGAAGTGATCCGCCACTCGTTTTGTTGTTGTTGTTGTTGTGAAAACGTGCCGGCGTAAGGAAATGGCGCCATTATTTCATTTTGCTTGCAAACATTCTGCTCTCTAGAGCAGTATTTGCAATATATTTTAGTTATTTCAGAACTGGAATATCAGGTTATTAATATTAAGGTTCAATTAACATTTTCTTGTAACCTATTATTTTTAGGTGTATTAACGAGAAGTATCTAAAAAACATGGGTTCTCGGAGATGCATCCCGGGTAGTTTTTTAAATAGTTGAATAAACTACTTTGAAGTGGTCTCTAACTAAATGAAGTGCGCTATTTTAACCAAAAATGTTCGTCATTAAATTTTAGGGAACTTCCGAGCTAGATTTGGTGGTCCTTGCTTGAACTGTTTTGAAGTACTATAACTTTTTAGCGATGAGATTTCTTATTTTTGCAAATCAAACAAAGAATAACAGCGCCAAAATTAAAGGGAGAAACATTGTCGTATAGACCTTTCCCGCATTACGCTCCAGTGAGCAGACATAAAGAAATGAGGACGAGGCTCGGATGGACAATTTCATACAAATCACTGTAATTTGTCCACCCGAGCCTCGAGTTGGTGCATTTGTTTACTGAAATGCGGGAAAGGTCTATTACTACCATGCCTTGTGTTTTTGTGAGAGATTTAACGAGCGAGGTTAAACTGTTAGGATTACGGGTTACCCTGACACCGAGTGAAAAATTCAGTACGTACATTTTTCGCATTTTTTGTGTTAGGAAAAATGTTATAATAAGCTTGGGAGTTTTTTCTCTCTTCCAGAGAACTAGCCGTTTCAACGGAATGCGTTTCCTAGCTTGTTTATATGTTGATGATTGTCACTGACGACTTGGTGAAAACTTCCCGCCGCAAGAAAATGAAGTAACTATTCCGTTTTCTTCCAAACATTCTGCTCCCCTGGGCGATATTTGGAATAACTATTCCACTTATTTCAGAGCTGCAATAGCAGGTCAATCGAACGGATTTTCCGGATTATTTTATCTTTTTCTTTTGTGGTCAAGCCAAGTTTTAAAAGTCTTTTTTCGGAGTAACAAAAAATTTCTCAAAAAAGCTTTTTTGAAAACGAGAGTAGCCGTCCAAAACTCTCAGAGATCTTGGTATAGAGTACCAATCCTTAATAGAACGAACTGAAAAAGAACGACCACCCTCCGCGCTAATTATATCTAGGACAAAGCAAATTTAAATTACAATTTCTTGTATTCCTTATACGCATGCTATGCTTGAATTTGTAACCAGAAGTTTGTTCATTTATAATTAGGAGTGTTTCCTTTAAGTCTCTTGTGAATGAGTGCGTATCGATTTATGTGCGACTCCCTATAAAAAGGAATCCAATTACAGCCGTTACCATTAACACGCGCCCTCAAAGGTTTTTTTTCTTCGGGTTCAAACCTGCGTTTTGGTGGACGTCAATCAACCGTTACCATGGTTTTTCACGCGTTGGCCCAGAGCAGACTCTTTCCCCGTTTCTCGAGCACTCGGAAGAACAAGTCGTTTTTGCAACACTTTGCTACAGGATCTGGCACCGCTTCATGTCAAGACTACGAGGAGTACGAATTTGTTGAGTGTTTGTCGGAGGAAACTCAAATTATCGACTTATTTACAGACTGTAAGTTACAACCACATAAGCTTTCTTAATGCACGCTCGCAACTCGTCTGAATTCTTGCTAGCTCTGGATTCTATTCAGTCCCGTAGCCAGGTTTTTTTCATGGGGAGGTACGATCCAAAAAGGAGACGCACCAAGTAAGGCCGGACTGGCTAGTCCCTAGGCGGGGGAAGCTTTGGTTGTATGAGACTGAATTGCGCGGCAAGTTTACAATTGGGGGACGGGGCGCTTGAATTCGAACGCGTTAACGTGTGCCACTTAGGGCTATCCGGGGGTATGCTCCCCAGGAAAATTTTTAATTTTAGGCCCTCTGAAATGGCTGGAAATGCATTTAAAACTAACATGGTGTGGTGAAACTTATATACTTTCAACAACTACAAAAAAAAGTCGCAATAATCTAAAAAGTGATATTTTGGGGGGTCGAAATGGCTTCTGCGTACCACTGACGTAATAAGAAAAGCTCAAAATGGATCATCTGGACCTCTACTGGCGCTACATCGCGTTTCCCACAACATGTCGCAACGTCTTAACGAAATGTGATAAAAAAGAAATAAAGAAGGCACGCTGGTTACTGAACTTCTGATTACAAGTAATTGAGAGAGCAATTAAAGCATCTTTTAAAAATTTCATGCAAAAAAGTTTTGATCAAATGTTACAGCTCAACAAATTAGAGGAACGAACTTTTGGGACACCCTGTACTCCTGATTAATGGCTTTTATCAATTGTAACGACTAATCTTCCCGAATTTAAAGATATATGGAAAGTTAATGAAGATTCGATTATTATCCGATCAATAGACTTTTAAGCTTCTAGAACAATCTTAAGGAAGAAAGAGTTGGCTAGTAAGAGAGAAGACAAACGGAGTTAGCAAGAGGGAGTTAGCAAATGGAAAGCAAGATTTGGAGATTGTTGAAGGAGAAGTTAGTCACAGATAGAGAGGGAGTGAACTAAAGCAGCAGCGAAGGCTTAAACTTAAAGATAAGTGAAATGGAAGAGAAGTAAGAATGGACAACCGCCCCGCTAGTAACTAAAATAAACCCTGAAAATGTAACTGGTTGATTGTGGAGTTCCTCTCGTCTCGCCGTCCCCATGAAATAAACGACACACAAAGATCGTGTATCACGACTAACGAAAACGCGAAAGACTTTGTGAATGCTAAAAGCCCTGCCAGACCAGTAAGAATCTCTACTCGCAGGATATTTTAAACACAAAATTTCCCACACAATAAAAAAATAAATAAATAAATAAATAAATAAGCGCCTTGTAGCCCTTATTTTATAGTGTTAAAAATTTTCAATAATTTCGTATATAAACGACGATTAACGAGAATATAATCTTTTAAAAAATCTATTGACCGGTTTCAAAATTATTTGCTCATTTTTTTGTTGATGTATAGGCCAAAATATATACTTAAATGCCAAAAAGAGCATCTCATGAATGCTAATCAAATTCCTCTTTTTGCAATCCGCTAAAACTATCCCTTTGATTCTTTCAGGTCCAAGTAGTTTTCATTGTAACCCATCTAGAACTCAATTCATTTTTTAAATTGCTATTTGCATTTACATTGAGAATATTTCTCAAAGGTTTCATCAAAAGTAGGCGTCACTGGAGACTAAAGTAACGTTTTTGTCACAATATTAAACTCAGCGACGGTTAAGTGGTATCATTTTCAGTAACTTTTAAAACTAACAAGCACACACAAAAACAAAATTGCCGCCGATAACGAAGACCTCTGCAGGAGGAGTAGATAACTTGTCTAGGTGCGCCAGGGTGCTCCCATTCAAGCTAACTAAACATGTTTAATTAAACCATTGTTTTAAAAAATGAAAACGGACACGAAAAACAGGAAGACAGGTTTTTACACAGGATGGGGTAATAAAATTCAACGCGTTTTGTAATTTGCAATAACGTTGCCATCTACTTAAGGTGTATTATAAAGGAAAAAAAAAATTACCTTGTTTGACTAAACAGCTTTTAAACATAGACCGATCAATATGAAGAACTTCGAAAATAAAATCGATAAAACAAAGCAATTGACTTTACACCGTCTGCGCCAATATCAAATAGAGGCTAAAAGTCAGTGAAAGTTAGCTTGGGGAGAAAGTGAATGTTAGCTCAGGGAAAAATAATTTTTGGATATTTACGAACAGGTGTATGTGCCACTAATAACGTCGATGGTCATGTAGGTCAGAACTATTCGTGGCGTTTTTAATTTTTAGAAATGAGTATTTGTCAATTGGTTCGTCGGCGTTGACGCAAATGCAAAAGTTTAATTGATATAGTTATGTGGCGCTAGTGCGAAAGTCTCTAGTAAACTCTCTTTCCGATCGTTTTATTTATATTTATTATTCTTATTTTATTCGGAAAGAATCAATCATCGATATTGTATGGCATTAGGTTTTTTTAATTAAACAATCATTCCACCCCCGCTTCCTGGAGCACTGCTACCAATAACATCAGTAAACAAGACTTAGAAGTAGC